CTTAAAATTGAACCCAGGGCCTTGCACATGCTGGGTGAAAGCTCTACCACTGAGCTACAACCCCAGCCTCAATACACATAATTTGTATTAGTAAAAAAAAATAAAGTATGGTAGAGAAACAACTAAGTAATTTTTAGTTGTTTTCCCATTATTATTAAAAACATGAAATCCTATATCAGAACTTAGCATGATGTATCTAAAAGAGTTGAAATGATTCCAGACTTACATAGGCCTTATTGTAGTAAAATATTTGATGACTATTAGGCCTTAAGAAATATTCATAATGGCTTACAAAATGTTATTACTATCTAAAATTGGGGGGAATCATTGCAGTGGATCAGTTCTGTCCTAATTCCATCACCTTAATTTTTGGAATACCTTTACTCAAGGAATTTAGGATTTCCTTTAGCCTTACTTTCTCATCCTGTTGCTTTACTCTGAGAAGGTCTTCATTTAAAAATCCTCTGAATTTAAAAATCCCTCTGAAACTTATCATTTTAATGACTTAAGCCTGTTAATCTATTCTATTGTTTCTTGAGATTTACCATCTGCAAGTATTTGAAGATAAAGAGGTCCAGATACAAACCTCACAATGAATTTTCTTCAATTGAGGCTTAAAATCCAAAGTATGATGTGAGAGTCACATGAATGCCAATTGAGAGTAAGGCTTTTTGAAGCTACTGGAGAACTAAGTAAGACCAGAGTGCACTCGGGGAACTTATCCACCTCCCTTCTGTTCAAAGTGAGCTAATTATTTGCCTTTTTATTCATTTATTTTTATTGATTAAAAGCAATATATTGCTTACTATAAAAATTTTAAAAAATTTAAAAATATCCAGTAAAAACTCAAATTATTCTCTTATCATCCCCTTAGATTCCCCCCTTTTTTTTTCTTTCCCAAGTCATCGAACATGCTATCAAGTGCTCTTCCACTCAGCTACACCACCTTGCACGTACAAGAACCTGAATTTACAGGCAGTTCCAATTCAGTATGTGTCCATCTTTCCAATTCTTTCTTACTCTCCTCTTTCACTGTTTATCTGCATTTACTAAAATGTGTATGGATATGCAGGTTCTCTCTATGTATATTTTATTACTTACTACATAATACAATTGTATTTCATAGACATCACTTTTGTAAATTATCATGTCTGGGATGCATGTTCTCTTCACAAGTTTAAACAATGAACTAGAAGTAGAAATAGGCTTGTGTCTTCTTTTGCCCTATAGATTTAGCCATCTCCTCAATTCCAAATCATAGGTTTACATTCCTGTGCCCTGACACCAGAGAACTATTTCCATGTTAATTTCTATCTTTTTCACTCCTTTGCCATTTCTTTAAGTGAAAATTTATCAACTTTTAAGATAAATAACAACTCTAGACCAGCTGTCTGTCAGAAATAAATACATCAGAAGGCAAAGATGAAGACTGATAGTCTGAAATCTGGAACTCAAATGGAAAACAAACCTTAGCTTAATGGTTTACTGCAAGCATCTCTCCTCCCACCCCCACATACTCCCTTCTCTTTTTCACATAGCTCCTATTTCTCCATCTCCTGGCCTTTCCTTCCTGGGTTGTTTCTTTCCTCCTGTGCTGTTCTGCATTCTTTTTCTTTTGCTCATGCACATCTTTTCTATTCTTTCTTACTCTCCTCTTTAACTGTTCATTGTATTACAGTATCTTTTAAAAATGCTGTTACAAGGGCTTAGTTAAATTTACTATGGCATATTGGTACAGCAGAACACTTTTTAACCATAAAGATTTATGAAGTATATATTTTGATGTAGAAAAATGTATATGTTACTATATATATAATATGTTACTATATCTTTTAATAATCTATAGAGCAGTATCTATATATGGTAAAATCACCCACTGGTAAATAATTTTATATACCTGGGGGAGGCGGGGAGGGAGAGAGATGGGAATTTATTAGAGTTTACCAAGATTATATTTTGGTGATAAGATTATGTTTTTATGAATTCCTTTGTATTTTTTTTTGTAGTTTGAAAACTTTCCTCGCTTAGCATATATTACATGTAAATTAAACAGTATTAAAAGAAACCCAAACATATTTAAAGCTATTTCCTTTCTCTAAAATTTTGGTAGGAAAATTATGTAGATAAAAGAGTGTGCTACCAGGAGAAAATTAAATTGACATTAAAATTCTAAGTAAAAGTAAGTAGTTTTCAAATGTAAAAAGCCTAAAGGGGGTGGGGGGACTAGGTTCCAAGTCAGCAGGGCTTTTGAGATGAGTGGCCACCAGGACCAGGAAGAGACTTACCTGGCTTGTCTTCCAGGTTGGGAAGGTTTCTTCCTGGCCTGAGGTTCACCAGGTTCAGCAGTAAGCCCAGAAGGAAATGAGGGGCAGAGCCATGTAAACATACTTGGCATTCTGCTTCTTCCTGAGAACAAAACAAACAAACAAAAAATGTTAACAGAAGTAAATTATTTTTCACTCATTTGTGATAACTGATTGAATTCCTACTCCAATCCTCTCCTCTACCCCAGGTCTTTAGCCTTACAAACAAAAATCCAGTAGTGCTAGAAACACCACCTGAGAGTTACATTTGAGGAGGCTGCCATCTTGTGGCCCTTCAGGCCATGCTTCCTCCTCAGCTTCACGTTCCCCATACAACACAGCTGGATCATATTAGACTTGCTTCAGCCATTAGTCTATAGATTATGACTACAAATCCTATTCATACACTAGGAATGGGGTCTTATGCGGTCATATTTTATGAATTTTTAAAAAGAAAGGGTCATTTGAGTTAGGGTGTGTGTGACTCATTTCCAGCAGTTCTGCCGTTAATGTTATTCTGAATAACTCACTGTTTTCAGTGTTTGCAGACTCCTAGAAATTCACAGAGTACCTTACTGTGTGAGCTTAATGCATTCTGGGGACGTTTCCCAGACCAAGGAAAGGACAGTAACACAGAAGCTTTCTGTGTATTAAGCTAACAGAGAAGATATTATAGAAATGCCTCAGAATTTCATGGTGTGCAAAAAATTTTATCGGAGTATATTCAAAAACAAACACACACACACAATATCCATCTATTCATTTTATGTTTTTTCTTGAGGAAAAGACATGGTGGGCTTCAAATTGCCTTGCATCATTTTCTCCAATGGGCAGATGGTTCCTTGGTCAAATAATCAATGTTGAAATTACTAACATGTTGAAATTATTGAAAAGACTTTTATTCCAATGTTGGGTGGAATGAGGCATTACTATGCACTTCCCAGTGTGGTATTCAATACACACTTGAAAGAATAACTGAAAAATCAAATTTGATCATGTATTTTCTTCAAAAATAAGTCAACGTTGTAAAATAATGTACACTGAAAAGTCCGATCTTTTTTTTTTTTTAATTTTTTCAAGACAGGGTTTATTTCCTGCCTAGCAGATTCAACTTCATTTGTTTCTGTTCTTATTCAAATTCTCAGATTCTGTGTTATTACAGCATCTCCCAAAAGTCATCTTGTGTCTCATCTCCACATTTTTCCACATGCTAGTGCTCTGCCTGGCCATCTAATTTCCATTTATACCCAATTAGCATTAGGTTCTCATCCTTCAAGTGCCTCTTGGGTATTTCCATTTTAACATCACTTATTCTGATTCCTCTGGGGAGAATTAATCTTGTGTATATTTTT